CAGGAATGGACTTCCAGTCTCCCTATTCCCAGCTGGTGCTTTTACCTCCCAGGTCTCACAGGACCAGCTGGCACTTACCTAGCTAACAGCTGTATGTGGCACAGCTGGAAGAGACCAGCCCTGTTGGGGACACAAGTTATGTGAAGTGCTCAAGACAAGTGATGAAGTAGGGGCTGAGACCACACTGCCAGCCTCTGCAGCTCAGGCCGGAGCGTGGCTGAGGAAAGCCTGAAGGAGGCATCTCAAGGTGGCTAACGGAGCTGAGGCATCCAGGTAGGCAGTGATAGGTACCCACTGCCCCCTCTTGCTGCCCTCCACCCGCTCAGGGAAAGCTGCGGCCTCAGCTCCACTCTCCCCAGCTTGGCAAACCCACTGGTCCAATGGCCCAGGGCTGGCGACTCCAGGCCCCCGCTAGCAGTATGTCTGCAGAGTGGGTAGGGAGCCTATCAGGACATGAAATGAAACCAGATCTTGGGCAGCACAGAGCCACTGTGTAGAGCCCGCTATTTATAGCGGCCCTCAAACAGAGCAGTGTGCAACACCGCATTAACGGACGAGACCTGGCTGAGAGGCTGTCAGCATAGCCAGAGGGCGAGCTGAGACTTTGCAGACACAGGCTTGGTCCTAGCCACGGAGTCAGCCTGGTTTGCGACTTCTGGTTTAGCCCAAATGAAGCCATCTGCCCCAAACTTAGCCTCTACACTTTCAGCCCAGGGAAAGGCTATAGAGCAAGCAGTGTCTGAAAGCTCAAGGATGGATGCATGGCTTGGTTCAGGGCTGGCGATCCTGCAGGCTCACCACAGGCTCCGTCTCAGGCAGTCTGTCGCGCTTTCTCATGGCCAAGAGCGTGTTCAGCACCACTCGCCAGCCCGGCTCTGCCTTCGCGGGCTCCTTCTCCATCTGGGCCGCGGGGTCCTCCAGGGCTTCCCCTCCTTCCACCGCATTGACCCAGGGACACCAATCACGATGTTGTGAGCTGGGATCAAAGAAGCTCCTCGTGGAAGCGTCCTGGGTGGGAAAGATGACAGTGAAGGAGGATGGCGACAGCACTGTTTTAAACAGACCCTAGTGACAAGGTAAAACCTTCTTCATGCCCAAACACTAGCCCTGAGCTGGCCCAGTGCTGTCCAACAGTGTCAACACTGGCACCTGGATCAGGAACACCCTGCTCGGATCCCCCTCCCAGGCTCTCGCTGTGCCTATGCCACTCACCGAGCTGCTGGAAGAGCAGAGCCGGGCTCGCTTGGTCCTGCGGTGAGGGCTGGACGGCACCTCCACGTTGTCCCCCTGCCCCATGCTGCGGGTAACGGGGCGGCTCCTCAGCGCAGGGCTGGCAGCCTCCGACTCGCCCCGCTCCATGGGGCTGGGGCAGTCCCAACCCCGCGGGCGGGAGATTGCTGGAGATGGGCTCTTCTCATGCTGCTGGTGGAGAAAGAACAAGGAATTAGCAGAGCTCCTCTGGTCACTAGCACGTCCTCAGTCCAAGGGAGACAGCGACAGGGGGGCCCTGCCCCACTCAAACAAGAGATCGAGGCCCTCTCAGCTGTCCTGGCAAGATCCAAGTCATCTTCCCTTCGTACCAGGAGCATCTTGGACATGTCTCGTTCCACGGGGATGAAGACAGCCCCCAACTCGCAGGATCCCAAGCCAGACGTTCACTGGGATCCTGGCCCAAACGGCCCTTTTTGGGCTCTCTCACAGAAGTGCCTGGGGGCTGCAGGGGCGGGAGGACAGAGAGCAATGGACAGCATGAAAGATAGTGACAACCCACTTTCACTGGATGTTGTTAATGGCTGAGGACACAGCACCATTGCCCAGATGAGCCTCTTTTTAGGGCAAGAGGCAGCTACCTGTCCAGAGACATCACTGTAGGGAACAGTACCTTGCTCATCCAGCTGGGGACTCGCACCTTGACCAAAACCAGCTGGTCTCATCTCTCAGAGACGGCTAAACCCCTCACACACCTGCTTGTCAGCAGCAGCAGACACCCAAACTACATCAGTTTTGGCTCCTGCATGCCCCCCATGCAGGTACCAATGCGGTACCACTCAGACGTCCCAAGCACTGGGCCATACCTGCTCCGAGCCTGGAGGAAGCGCGTCCTGGCTCCGTGTGAGCATCCTGCGTGGAGACGTGGGTGCCAGCGGGGTGCTGCTCAGGCCGTAGGAGTCCAGCTCCAGCCCGGCCGACTCCAGCTGGTGGAAGCCCCACAGTCCTGCCTTCCTCATGCAGCGGGAGCAGGTGATCACCGAGAGGTGCATGGAGCCAGATGCAGTGCTGGGGGGACAGAGCCAAAGCGAAAGGAAAAGGTCAGGGACAAGTCTGGGCCCTTCCCCAGTGTCACAGCTTTCAGAACAGATGCAGGTATGTGGCAGATCATAGGAAAGGTCACAGTCACAGGTACCCGAGCCAGCACTTTTTAAGACGTCAGCACCCCTTGGCTGAAGCACAGTTACTGGTTTTTTAGCCTGTTTTACGCTAACAAGTAAAACAAGTTAATTAAAAACTTTCTATAGCCTTGACTTTAACTGGCTCATTTACATTTTGGTTTGCCATGAACCAGGAGCACAGTCAGTTACGGCATAGCAGATGAGGGTGTTTAAAGATGTCATCGTCCCCATCTTCAGCCCTTCTGACTGTCCAGCCACGTTGGCAGCTCTACTCTTCCCCACCGAAAACCTATCTCCAGCCTGCACCGTAAGAGATCACCTGCAGCAAGATGCCTCAGGCACAAACAGCGTGGCGGCCTCACTCGCAGCGCACGCTTTGGAAAGCATGAACCTTCAGGCCATGAACCTTCCCTCCCTTCCTGCAGGCCTGACGAGCAATGAAACCAGCACTGAGGGTGACCTTTCAAGTATTGACTTTAATATCTAAATCAGCAATGAATGGGGCAGCTGACGGCTCAGAGGCCTTGTGTTCAGACTCTTTGCAAACTCTGGGAGACACCTATTTTAGGTTAAGCTTTGCGTTGGGGTTTCTGCAAGTGTGTTTCACAATTTTGACAGCTGGAGATAAGCTTTTATTAATAACAGTGAAATAGCGGGCAGTGAACATTTCACAGGAGAGACATTCGCATTTCTCCAGCCTTGGACAGGTTTCACTGGCAATCGCAGCAAAGCGCAACAGACATTCTGGATTGCACACAGGATATTTACAGCCTATACCAGAGCCCTCGCTCACAGGCATTACCCACATACTGACCTGCAAGTCCAGCCACACAGTGCCAGGACGCAGGCAGGAATGTGCACTTGCAGGATTTCTGAGGCAAAATTCATCGGTGGTTTCTCTCCCTCTGTTTTGTGCTCGAGCTCCTCCCCGATCAGTTGGAGGAGCAGGCTGATCTTCTCCTCTGTCAGAGACTGTGGGACAGAAAGCCAGCGGGGCCAGCAGAGAAAGCAGTCAGAGGTAGCACCCACGTTCCTTCAGCCGGAGCCCCCAGCCCCACGGGAGTTCGGGGTCCAGCTTCTGCCTCCTGCCTGGCACTGGACAGCCCCCTGCACACTCAAGTGCTTGCCCTCAGGACTCCTGGGGCAGCGATAATATTTCCTGCAATAGGAGAACAAGCATGGGAAAACCGGCAGCGCAAGAGAAGAGGGAATCTCCGGTTAGAGTAATTACAACAGGTAGAAAAGCAGACATGTTCCTGCATTCAAAAAAGACTCTGCTGCTACTCACAAACCATGCTACCCACGAGAAAAGGTCCCCTTTCTACTTCCCCAAAGGACTGGGTACCTGACCTAGCACCTTTAGCACTTAACCTCTATTCTGGTTAGCCAGCTGAAGCTGCCCAGAGAGACTGCTTTCTCATACCTCTTTGACTGTCCCTGTCACCTGGACTTGTCCATGCACCTTTTGTTCTAAGGGCACACGGGGACAGCAGAGCAGATCTCAGCTCTGCCACTCGCAGCAAACCACGAGTCCAAACAACCCCAGCTCGGCGCTCTGATCCCAGGCAGGCAGTGGGGGCTGTGTGGCTGTCTGTGCTGGGACAAACTGAGAATGCTTCGGGGGCCGTTGATAGGGCCCCAGACCTTACTGCTAGCGAGACAGTTGGACAGTTACATGCAGAGCGATCTGTACACGTGATCTGTGCATAGGTTTTATGCCGTCTTTTCTCAGGGGGGCTCTGCTGGTTTCCACAGCTCAGCCAGCTCATGCTGGTGACCATAAAATGCCTCTGCCATTTCTACTGAATGGATGAAGTATTCCCTGCTTCCCGTACAGTTTCACACTGCTGAGAGCCATCTGTTTCCTGGCGAGCGAGTGCCCAACAAGCCAGACTTGGCTGAAGCAGAGCACGGCCTGGCCAGGTCCTCACGAGGAGGCAATCTCACATGTGCTCCCGGCTGTGGCTACTCTCCAACCTCTCCTGCCTTAGCTCCTGCCTCCCTGCTCTTCCCTCCTGCCCGCCGAGCCTGCCCCCATGCCTGCCTCGCCCTGGAGGCCCCCCTGCACTGTACTCGCCAGCCTGCAGGATAGACTCCCTCACCTGCGTGGGCCTCTGCCCACATCTCTGCTCTGGGGCAGCCTCTGGCACCCCAGACTCCTCCTAGCTCAATGATGGTATCTAGCTCTTTCGTGGGATCCCAGCCACTCGCAAGAGAGGTAATCCACAGGCTGCTGCATCTCACAGAGTCCCTGGAGGTAATGAACAGGGGTGGGAGCTACTAGGGAGAGCAGACTCCTGAAGGAGTCTGTGGGACCTCACATGCCTTCTGCTGGGCACCAGAAAACATCTCACATGTTGGGGAAGGCACAGAGATGGAAAGAGATACAACAACCCAACCCACTCCAGACTGATGACATCGCAGCAACATGAGCCAGTTGTGCCTGTGCTGGTCAAGAGCTCGCGGGGACGAACCCTTCTGAATTCCCTTTAACGAGCGTTAGGAAACACCAAGACGACAGAGCACGTAACAGAAGCACGCAGAGCAGAGCAAAGCCTACCCAGCAACCTGAAGTTTCACGCTTGAATCCTCAACCTCACAACTGTTTCCGTCAGGATTTGCACAGCACAGGCAGGTCTCTTGTTGCCACTGGAGACATTAGCTCCCTGATCACGCAGGCCCCCAGAAACTCACCATGTTTTTCATGTCTTCTGGTCTGAGGGAGGGCAGCTGCAGCTCCAGCTGACACAGGCTCTGAAAGCGGTCCAGGAAGTCCTGGAGAAGGGCTCTGGGCTCATCCACCAGCAAAACAGCAAAGCGATCTAGGGCAAGAAGAAGCAGGAGGCCTTAGTTGTGACACCAGCCTTCCCACCCCTTCATTCTACAGGGCAAGAGAGGAAACAAGACCAGAAAAGATCTTCTGACAGGAGTCTTCTGGCCTTTAAATAAAAATGGAGCAGTCTCTTGTTCCTTTTCAATCATGCCTCCTAGTGCGGTGAGGACTCTGTGAAAGTCTATCACCCTTTCAAAGCGTCCCAGGTTAACAATCCTCCCCTATCTTCTCCCCTTTACAGCCCGAATAGCATTTTAATTGCCCTGGAGGCAGTGTCATATGAAGTTAATGGAGCCAGTACTGCCTGCTGGGTATAGCTCTGGTTCCAGGCTCAAGATTTGGAGCTCCAGCTGTGGCTCAGCCACGTATTTGCTGAGGGTGCTCAGAGACATCCCTTTGCCACCCTGTACTTCAACCTCCCCTTGGGGAAAAAAAGGACTGTGACACTGTCTGCTTTGAAAGCTTGTGGAGAATCTCCCGTTACTGCGAGGGGAGATGAGGGCTACATCAGAAAGGCAGAAAGCAAGGGAATAACCCCAGACTTCTGCCCTAGATAGGCTCTGTAAGACCAACCTGGGCAGGGGCTGTCTGGCCAGAAGCAGAACTTCTCATGAGCGGTGCACAAGGCCTTCTTCAGCTCCACACAACGCTCCTTATCTGCGAGGCAAAAACCACTTCTATTCCCCTGCGGAGACACCTCCTCGGGGAAGAGTTAGCAGAGGGGATTGAGGGAGAGGGCATCCTCCACGGAGGCTTCCCCGCTCCTGGCAGGCGGATTCCTCCTGTTCAGCATAGCTCAAGTGAAGGACGCCACATCTTGCGGAGCCCCAAGCTCTTGGCTCACGCTCACCTCCCTCCACGAAGCAGCTAGCAGCTTGCTGCCCCTCCAGCCCTGCCTTCCCCCAGCTCTGCCCACAGGCAACCGCTGACTGAAGGGAGCAGCCGGTTTCTGCGGTAGCGAAGGCAGCCGGGCTGAAGGGATATCTCCAAAATGCCAAACGTGACCAGGCCGATTCTTCTTCCCTGCAGCCAGAGCCCTGTCACTTCCCTGGGCACAGCAACCACGGAGGAGGGGAGCCTGCCACGCTGCGCTGGCAGCGCAGCGGACGCTCAGTTTAATCCAACCACCAGCACAGGGACTGGGTGCTCTTGCTGATTTTACCACCCCGGACTGCTGCCGGCCGCTAGCTAACTCACTTGACTGCTCCTCTCTGGCTGTAGGGGCCAAATCACAGCCACGTCTGAAAACTACACACCAGAACTTTTGTTGGGAGGTTAGTTTAACTTGTTCAAACCTTCCAGAATGGAATCGTTCATTTTCCAGCTACATTTGTTCTTCTTTCCTACCTCCAATTACTTTAGGTCTTCCTAAACCAGTGCAATTACTAATAGAATAATTAGGTCATAGTTTATTTAACAAAGACTGTCTAAACAAACAGCAGGCGTCGATATTCGGAATAACCCAAAAGGAAATGCTTATGCAGCTCCCTATCACACATACCACGCGCTGCGCTTGTCAGACATCAGGCTGCGCTTTGCCCTCTGTTATCTCGCAGATAACAGGAGCAGGGACTGGAACCAAGCAAAGAAAATTGAGAAGGGGGCAATGACACACATTTGTGGTGTGCTAATACCTGCCTCTCTGCAGAGGACAGACCCAGGCAAAGGAACGTGTAGGTTTGGGCAGATGCTAAAGCAAAGGCCATCGCCGCGCTGCGGGCAGGGCTGGCCGCGCCATGGCTCACGAGCACCGTGAGGCTGGCGAGCTGCACGAGCCCAGCTCCCGTCTGGCGCTGGGTCCTGGGGCGACACTGCGGGGCCCCGAACCTCCGCTGCAGCAGGGCACAGAGCCTGCACCGCAGAGGCTGGCATTTCTGGGGCACTCTCGGCCCCACGCCGTCCAACAGCAGGATCGGGAGCTCTTCCTGCTCCCTGCCAGCAAATTGCCCCAGGTGCTCCCGTCCTTTGGCCTCTGACGGACCCCATGCGCCACTCCGGGCGCATGCTCATGCTGTCAGGACTGGCCAACGCTCTACGGCCAAGGGAGAGAAACCGGTGCCAGGTCTAGACAGCGAGCTCAGTAAAGAAAACAAAAAGGGGAGTTTTACTGATGGTAATTCACACTAGGTTAAAGAGAGCGGTGGAGGAATTTACGAACAAAATTACTCAAAGTGAGCACCTTCGAGGACTCACTCAGTGACCAGCAGTCACCGCCAGGCCTGCGTTAGAAAAACGAGCAGAGAACAGCAAACTAAGCAGTCTGGAAACCTGTCTCTGACCATGGGAGCAGGAAGTTTTATGTTCCTGCAAATTAAAGGAAAGAGTTACTAGACTCGCCATTTATTTGCAGAGACACCAAACACCCAGCGTCACCCACGCCTACGGGAGCTGTTGACGCACGCAATGAGGTGCGCGCGCTCCCAAACACCGCGTTTGGGAGTGCCGACCCCCATGCCTGTCCCCGATGAAGACGCTGGCATACGTACACTTGTTGAAATCGAATGCCAGCTGCAAGCTCACGCAGAGGAAGGCCTGGCAGCTGGAGCACTTCAGCATGTCGCACTCCACGTTGGTCCACCCGTATTTGGCACACACCAGGGGAGACAGCTCATGGGGTTTGCCTGCCCACTTCAGCGGGTGCTCACGTTAAGGATAAAACTCAGCCGTAACACAGGATGGCCAGTCTAAGCGTTTAGACAGGTCATTTCTCCCAGGGTGACCCGACAAGAGAAGAAAAGCCTCTAAGAACATGAAACCTGAGAGAAAACTGCAGGGAGGGTCACAGCAAAGCAGGACAAGGGCTGGCTGCAAACTCAGCATCAGAAAAGGATATCGTGAATGTTTCTACTCTGCTGAAGTAGGCCTCTTTGCTCATTGACTCCAAAGAGAGAGCATCAATTTGCGAAGATCCATTAGGTGATTCTGACCAGACAGACGTGTCCTTCCTAAAAGGAAATGGCAAATCAGCAAGCAAGACATCTATGCTGTCCTAGAAAGATTTCATTAACCCATAAAAAAGAAGCGGCCCCTTTTAAATGTTTCACGATTATTGGCGGCAGCGGCTGATACGGCTTCGACACGACAAGCAGGAGCTTGTTTTCCAAGCCCGGCAAAGCCAAATCAAAGGCGGTGGCGTGCCTCTGAAGCCGGAGCTGCACCAGAGCTCCTAACGCCGCGGAGGGGGCGGCACGTCGGGGCAGACGGCTCCTTCGCTCGCTGAGCCTGAGCTACAAACCGCGACGCCTGCACCCCGCCGTCCCCCGCTGATAAACCGCACGTGTCGTGGGGTTTAACTGCCCCTTAATAAAGCTGGTTACAGTTTGGGGACAGTTGGGTCGAGGATGAACCTCGCCTCCAAGGGTGAGCACAGCTGCTCAGATCTGGCCAGACACCCCCAAAGCTCCCCAGCAGCAACCTCAGTGCCCCCCAGTACCTCCCAGTGCTCTCCAGCATTGTCCCGAATCCCCCAGTGCCCCCTAGTACCTCCCACTGTCTCCCAGTGACCTCCATGCCCTCCAGCAGTGCCCACTGCCTCCCAGTGCCCCCAGTCCCTCCCACTGCCTGCCAGCACCGCCCAGTGCCCTCTGCTGCCACCCAGTGCCCACTGCTGCCCAGTGCTACTTCCCACTCTCCTCCCGTGCTCCCAGCACGCCCCAGCACTCACAGCGGCTGTTTTTTTCCAGTATATCCCAGTGCCCCTTATCAATTCCCAGTGCTCGCCAGCACCTCCCGACAACCCTCAGTGATTCCTAGCATCCCCTCAGCACCCTCCT